ATTCTTTTTCATTCATTCGGATAATTCCCTTTTTTTGTTTAGAAATGAAGAAGTAGAAAGACACCGTTGTTTCCGAAAACCAATCACTCCAGAAAATTGAACCTTCTTCAATTCAAATGAATTTTGACTTATCGTCAGAAACCGAAACACAAGTGAAATTCATTCCGTGAAATGCAAGTTTTTGTTCTAACCAAGACTATATGTTCATTTTACGAAAATACACTTTCCAGTAATATATGTCAACATTGATTAGTTGGTATTCTGGCTGCTGCATTGACTAAATTTCTGAAATTATGCAACCCATTAGATACCTAATGAGCTTTGCGCAGGAATTCAAACATCATCCCTCGAGGCAGAATCTAAGTTGAGATAATAGACAGTGTCGACAAGTTTTCAATCAATATTGAGAAGACCGCTTTAGAAGAAGACATGTGATGGTTTGTTCACTTATATAGATATGGGAATCCAAACTTTTGAAATAAAATTTTGGAAAAAATATATTGATGGCTCGTTCATTAAGCTTGTCGCTCACTTGTCCGGCACAACACAGCACAACGCTGTCCGTCGCTTGATGGCAACGGGTAGTAGCATCGCCGACTTGTCCAGCTGCAACCAGTATACTGAAGGTGCTGTTTGTTCAATTTCAAGGGAATTTCACTTGAAATTTTTCCTCGTCCATTTTCATAGGTACCGTCTGACACTGTGTTGTCAACTGATGGAAAAGCAAAACAGAAAGACCGAAACTTCCCACTTTTCTCACTTTTGGACAAGCCGTGCCGGGCTAGTGTGCGGTTGTCCATTCATTTTCATTGTTCCAATCCTATCCGTATTTTGACGGGACGTGCCGTGCTTTGCTGTGCTGGACAAGTGGGGCGATAAGCTTTAGTCATAAGATAAAATGGGTCGCAAAACTTGAATTTTTTCAGGAATAGATTGAGAAAATAATGTTTTGAATTTCCACTTCTTTGTTGATCATGCAAAGAATTAACTTTCAGATACAAACTTAAAGTAACTTTCAGACACAAACTGGAAGTTACTTCTTTGCATGATCTACACATAAGTAGATCTAACTTATTCCGTGACATAAAAAATCGTAACTTATGAATGAATTGTGTGGTTTTTTCTTATAATTTTATCCAGATTGGTACTAAAGAGCCCTAAGAAATGTCTTATGGCGCAACATCGATGTCTACTAGTGAGGATGACAGTGCTCCATGTAAGTGAAATTATCACCATTCATTTAGTATATTGTGTAGAAATCCTGTGAATGATATCTGAATGAATGTTTGAATGTTTGGAATACAAACTGAGTAGAGAAAAGTGTTTTTGTATAATTCAGTGGAAGAACAACTCAGTAGCATTTGTGCTGAGTGAGTTGAACTTCGTCTTTTGTTACATCAGCAACTAGCTCTGTAATTTATTTAAATAATTGTATGTAACTACAGCTGGGAAACAATAAAGACGATTATTTTGATTATTATATAAAAGTTATTGTTTAGAAAGAATTTTTCATCCGTGTACTTCAATGTTTATATGAAAGTAGCTGTTTCAGGAGGGCTTTTTCTTCCAGTTTTTGTCTAAAAGTTACTTCTTTGCATGATCTACACATCTATGTTTAGAGTTAATACTTTTAAAATTGATGGAATAACGGGGTCTCTCAGTCAAAAAATCAAAAATAAAAAACTCTGCTTTACTTTGCCAAGCTTTCGCTTCTGTATTCGCTAATTGTATGAATAAGAGAACAGACATTGATAATCTCAGCAGTATATACAGTAACTTGCTGGAACTATACCAGAACTCATATTGATAATAATGAAAATTGTATCAATCAACTTTCCCTTTAGAGTCAAAGATTATCAAATCTTCATGCCCATTGAAAAATGACATTTATGTGAAGGTATGACATTTGTCAAACCAAAAAACTCCATTAATGTTTAACTTTTTTCGTCGATTTATATGTTCAATTAATTGTTTTTTACTC